TGCGCGTGACCTGTTTAAAGATAATTTCTTAATTAAAAGAGGCAAATGCACATAGGTTCTAAAATAAGTAAGTGGACAATTTGATTAAGCCAAGTATGATCAAAGCGACCGTGCTAAAACCACGGAACCCGGGAATGCCTAATACCTTCTCCCGGGTTAACAGAATTCCTTACCCGGATTTCTGTGTTCGCAGACCATAGATAAGAGTCAGCTTCCTCGATTCGGTATTTCAAACCGGTGACTTGGGACACCATAAATTATCCCAAGTGGCGACTCTGATTTTTATATAAATAATTCCGGTTCGATTGTCACTTAAATTGGAAAAACTTCCTTATACGCCCTCTAGGGGGTAGTAAAAAGGAGGTGTGACAAGGGCAACTAGTCAGGTAGGCCAATAGGTTCAACAAAGTATACATAGCAAAGTGCCACATAGACAGCCTTATATTGAAGGAATTAGGAGAAGAACTAGGTTTACAAGCATACATAAAATTAAACTAGTTGAGACCTAAAGATCCAAATTAAGTTGAGTACATCCTAGTGCCATGTTAATCAGCATGTAGACATGATGAGGGAACACACATTGTGATAATCACTGAAAGGACAAGGTAGCAAATGAACCAAAGCATACTGGGGAAACACATTAGCATAGAAAGCAAGGTAATAGTTGATAAAAAGAACAGAGTGTTTATCTTAAAAATCAGGACAGCAAGGAAACATGTTTAGAGCAAATTTTAAGACATTATTCCATATAGTACACAAAGGACAGTCAATCAAATACAAGACTCACCACTTAAAGGATTCATTCAAGGTGGGGGGAGGGGGTGATTTCTATGAGTTGTAGTGATATCTAAAGCAACACACAGAGAAATTCTATAACTAACAACATATAGCCACAGTAGTCAGATTCATATCAAAATAGACTTGCATTGAAGCTCAAAACAGAACATATTCAGATGCTAGAGGTACAGAACTCATTCTAGAAAGCGAAGAATCACAGAAGTGCAAATCAAACAGCAAACTATCTCATGCGTTCAATTATTACAGAATGACAAAGATTATTAAGCATTATCATAGTTAAATCATACTCAAGTAATTCAAACACTTATAGGTATGCAAGAAGAAAGAAGGAAATTGAACATTGCAAAGGTTTTAAAACACTAACCAGTAGCATAATCAAAAGAGTAAAGAGAGTAGTAGCAAAAACCCGGATGCTTCAGAGTTCACAAAAGCCTCGAGAATGGGCTCCGAGCAGTGCTTGCATCGGAGGAGGTCGTTCAATGGCCATGGCTTTCTATCGTCCCAGAATTCAATGATTTTAGAGAGTGCTCGAGTGTAACAGTGGGTGAGTGAATGAGAGAGGAGAGTAGTGAGAACAACAGCAGTAATTAAGCGATTCCAAAGTCTGTCGAAGGGGATTTAGGGGAGGGGTTTATATAGTAGCAGATTCAACACAAAAATAAGGAAATACGGTAGATTAAACACAGAATAAGAAAAATATAGCATGCGAGAATCAATTATTATCAGTTTTAGGGCAGTTAACACATAAAATAAGGAAGCAAAGTAGGTTAAACAGAAAAATAAGGAAAACTCATCAGTCAAACACAAGAAAGGGAAGAATATCATATGCAATAGAGAATCAGTAAAGGAAAAGGGTAAATCTCAAATCTTAGTTGTTTAGGGAAAGTGTATATCAGCAGAATAAACAAAATTGGACTCAAACAGTGTAGTATTTGAACGTATATAGACGAAATAGCGCTCAAAATCATAGATTCGAACCACTTTGATTGGATTCTGGAAGATATTGCTTTCCATATTTAGGCAAGCACCTAGGTAACACCACATATGGACAACCAGTAGCGAGATGAGACCAATAAGGTAAGGGAATCAGTGATTGATTCCATCTTAGGGTCGGATTCGAAGAGATTGAGATGCAGCAGCTAGGGTTCGTAGGAGAAGAGAGTGGAGAGTGTTTGAGGGCGGCAGGTTGAAGGGAAATAGGTTAGGGTTTTGGGTAAGGGGGTAACTAAAAGGGTAGGTTAATTATGGGCCGTTGATCATTTGAGATCAACGGCCAGGATAGTAAGGGGAACGTGGCTAGTTATTTGGAGCGGGTACCACTTGGTTTTGGGCTGGGGTGGATTGGGCTAAGGTGTTGGGTTGGGTTCGAAAATAGGTAGAATTTGGGTTATTATTTAAATACCCCAAAAGTTTATCAAAATACTTTATTAAAAATGATTAATAAATAAAATAAAACAGTATTTATACATTTGTATTATAAAAATACAAAAAATGCTATTTTGACACAAATAATATAAAATGAATAGCCTTTATGTATGAATATAGGCCATTATTGCAAAATTAGATAAATAGCTTAAAAAATACTAATGTAATTATATGAAATAAAATAAAATATTTGAAAAATATATTATAGGTGCAAAAAAATAATTTTTAGGTAACTAAGTCATCACAAAATAATTTAAAGGGATAATTACTAATAAATTATATAATTTAGATGCAAGAAAATTGATTTAAAGTTCTAAAAATTATGAAAAATGTTTGTATAGGTTTTTAAACTAAGTAATGATGCAAAAATGCTATTTTGAAAGTGTGTGTGTGTGTACATATATATATATATATATATATATATATATATATATATATGAGGGCAAAATTGGGCACAACAACAGGTGCATAGATTTCCTCATAGTCAATGCCTTGCCTTTGCTTGTAGCCTTTAGCCACAAGGCGTGCCTTGTATCTTTCCACTTCTCCATCAACATTCTTCTTTGTCTTGTATACCCATTTCACTCCAATTGCTCGATGACCCTTGGGAAGAGTTGTTAACTCCTAAGTGTTGTTCTTCTCTATTGACTAAATCTCCTCTTCCATAGCTTGTCTCCACCTTTTGTCTGTAACAGCTTCATCAAAGTTCATTGGTTCACTGTCAGCAAAGAGACAATATAAAAAATCAAAACTAGTAACTTCTTTGCTGCCCATCCCTACCTGGTGAAC